ATCATCATCAGAGAGCATGTCTTGAACCTCCTCCCAGCTTCGACTGCCCAGGGTATTCTGCGTGATATTGACGTAACAGATCTGATGAACTCCACTGTATTTACACCCCAGCAAAAAGCTTACAAATGGGTTCGACAGGATCCAAACCTCAGCAACTACACCAACGAGAGGATTGTACAGCGCTTTGCCCTGGCAACTTTCTACTATTCCACCGGCGGTTCGCAGTGGGATGCAAAGGACAACTGGCTCACTTATAATGATGTGCATGAATGTGACTGGTTCTCTAAGAACACGTATGGGTTCATCCCTCTTGCTTTTACTGTGCCCCGCCCTCTTTTTGTCAACGAGTCCGTAACAGGTCCCATTGATGGAGTCCCTTGCAAGGACCAGCAGTATGAGCACCTGTGGCTTAATCACAATGGCATGTATGGGCAGATTCCAGAGGAAATGTACTTGCTCACAAATCTCAAAAGCATATCACTGGACCGCAATGACCTTACAGGCACAATCTCAGCAAATATTGGCCAGCTGACCAGGTTGGAGGAACTGGATTTGTATTCCACCTCAGTTGATGGTACCATTCCATCGGAAATCGGGCTATTGCCTCTGAAGGTACTCTTTCTGATAGTTAATCTTCTTTCAGGCAAGTCTCGAATTCTGAGCTTGACTGCTCCCTCCAACCAGCTAACCTTCGACTCTTCTCCTACTGGACTCTGAATCTCCCAGGCCAAATTCCTAGTGAAGTGGGTCTGCTTACAGAACTAAGACAGGTATTGCTGGACACAAATTTAATGACAGGGCCTATACCACCGGAGATGGCATTTCTATCAAAGTTGGAGAAATTTTCCATCTGGCAGAATGCTATCACGGGCAGTGTGCCAAATGGTGAGTCAAGTTGAGTGCCTGTATAGTAGTAGCAGCCAGAGCATAGCTTTCAACCACAGTCCTTTCTGACAACTCACCATCCTTTCTGTTTCTGTGGACACATTGCACAAAACCACAAACCTTCAGTTGCTTTTCAGTGGCCTGGACTTTTTTCAGTAGAGCAGAATCTTCTATCTTCCACAATTCCCACAGAGCTCGGCTTGTCAAAGCTCACTGGATTTGCAGTTTGGAACAACGGAATCACAGGCTCAATTCCATCAGGTGGGTTATTGTTTCTTTGTGTGTTCATGCTTCTACATGTTGTGTCTTACTTTACGGAAATGCCTCCACACAGAGGTTGCGCTGATGACCGACTTGGTTCATCTTGGGGTCGCCAATAACCTGCTTAACGGCACTATACCCACGGAGCTAGGCAGCCTTTCCCTGCGGGATACTCTTCAAGTCCACAACAACCAACTCACAGGTATGGGATTCAATGTGTCCTCGGAAAGCCAAGGGGTAGGTAGATGTCTGACCTTTTGTCTCTTCAATTGCACAACACTACAACT